CGCCATCCTAGTCAGTGCTGTGCTGGAGTCATTGTTGCGGCCAATGTGTAAATCTAGCTCCTTGAGGCGCTTCTTCTTATTCACTATTTTTCTTTCTTGACTGCTCTTGTCAGGTGCTGTCAAGTTGAGTATGCCCCATAGCAACCCTAGGAACAACAGATCTGAATCTGATGGAACTTTACCATATTTGACTCTAACGGGCTCTGGCTCCACTTTCTGCAAGACATATTTGTTATTCTGGCAGTCCATGGGATATTCAGTACTTGTCTCCAACACTATAGCTGTCCTATCCTGTGCCATCTGCTGTTTTTACTTAACATGATGTTAAGGATACATCACCTAAACTACCTTTCATCAACAAATTTATCTCAACTTATTTCTTTGTTTTTCATAACCTCTTATCTGTCTCCTTATATTTTATCGATTATATCTCCTCCTGATTTTTCAAACCCAGGGAGTTGTGGAATGTAACTTGCACTGGAAATTCAAGGATTTGGTTGAATGATAGGATTGTGACATTTACTGGGGGACAGAATATGGCTACGGCTTAATTTTGGTCTGTCTCACAATACAATTTTTTAAGAAAATGATAATGAAACACAGAGGAATAAGAAAAGTATATAATATAATGAACACCTTAATTCCCATCACCTAATTTAAGATGTGAAACATTACCTATATAATTTAAGCATCTCAACTTTTCTTCCTTGAGATAATTACTCCTAGTAGTTGGTGCTTTGTATTCCCGTTCATGTAGTCTTACGCTACACACGCTGCCATATAAAACATAGCAAAAAAGCCTTTTGCATGCTTTCACACCAACTGTGTTCATGTGAAACATATACTTGGACCAGGAGGCAGTCTTAAGAACAGAGCAAGGAAACACTGTCTGGTTAAAAATCAGAAAAGGAGGGTGTCTGGGATGTGTCCTATCTCCATATCTTTTCAATCCATATGCATAAAAGATCACTTGAGAGGCTGGAGAGGAGGAATGTGGCATCAGGATTGAAGGAAGACTCATCAACAACCTGAGTTTTGCAGATGACACAATTTGCTGAACCTTAGGAGGGCCTAAAGTATCTGCTATAGAGGGTCAAGGACTGTAGTTTGCATATGGATTGAAGCTCAATGTCAAGTAAACAAAGATTCTTACTACTGGCCTAACTGGCAGCATCATGATAGATGAAGAGATTGAAATTGCTAACAATTTCAGCTTGCTTGCTTCCACAATCAACACTCTTGGCACCAGAAGTCAGAGACCTCTCCAGAGTGCTGAAGAGCAAGGCGGTCAGTCTAGAAGAAGGTGTGCCTAATCCAGGCCATGGTCTTTACAATTACTTCTAATTAATCACCTTCTATGCATCAGAGAGCTGGACAATGACTAAAGATGACAGAATAATAGATGTCTTTGAGTTGTGGAGATGAGTTTTGAACATATCACAGACTGCCAAGAGAACTAAAAGGTCTGTCCTGAAGAGGTAAAATCAACTTGCTCCTTGGAGGAAAGGATTTCAAGACTCTGTTTCAACATACTTTGGTCACGCAACCAGGCAGGGTCAGTCTTTGGAAAGGGGTATCATGCTGGGAAGGGTTGAGGGACAAGTGAAGGAAAGGAAGATCGCAAATGGGATGGATTGACACAATATGCAGGGATATGACGGTAGCTGTGTCAGAGATAGTGAGATTGGCTCAGGATAGAGAGCAGGGTTCAGAGATATTGTGCTCAGGGTTCCTACAGGTTGCAAGTGACTTGATGACGCGTAACAACAATCTTCTGAGTTTATATTCTTGCTCAGTTTTTTGAGATTCATTTATATGAGATTTGTTTATTTTAATACCGTATTTCAAGATATTCTAACCAATTTTCCTATTCACAAATAATTTAAATGATTTCCAGTTTCTCACTATTTTAAAAATAGTGTTACGAAGTTTGTTCTTATTTCATTGTACTGAATTGTTAGAATTGCTCTGAGAGAATAAAAGTAATTCCCAATTTATGAAGTATTAGCATTGGAAAATTGTAGTATCTTATTGTCTGTAATATATAATACATATAATTCTGTAGGTTATAATTTGCTGATGTTATTCTTATAAGAGGTGAAGGTGATACTTAGGCTCAAGGCATTTAAAGACAATTGCATTGATGATAAAAGACAATAATAAAAAGAAAAAACAAAACAATACAAATGAGACTTAAATCCGAATTGATTTATGAGGTTATTGGAAGAGTCCTGCTGTAATATGGGGACTACCTGCATACTCAGAAAACAGAATTGTTGCATTATGTTGTTCTTGTTAGGTGCCATTAAGTACTTGATTTTTATTTTTTGCCAATGCCTTCAATGTAACTTCCACTTCCTCTTTCATTACCATTGTCTCCTGTTCATATGGTACTTTCTGAAATTTTTCAGTGTCAATCAATTTTTTTCTAATAGTGACTCTGTGTATTCCCTCCATCTTCTTTTGATGCTTTCTGGGTCATTCAATATATTGCCATAGCATCTTTCAACGTTATGTCACAAGGCTTAAGTTTGTTTTTCAGTTCTTTCAGCTTGAAAAGTGCAAAGTGATAGCACAGGAATAGGGTTCAGATCTGCTCATAGGGTCGCTATGAGTCATACTCAACTTGACAGAACCTAACTACAAAAACAACTGTGGTTGACGTCCTTCAAACTAGGGATTTTTCTTGCTTGATTCATGGTTTTATTTAACTTCTGTCTGTTGACGTTCTATATTACAAATATAAACTGAACTCAAACCAAAGCCTTAGCTAGAAAAATTCCAGCCAGAATTCTCAGCAGTGCCATTTTTATTTATTTAATAAAAAATCCTCAAGACAACTGATTCAGGTTCTTGATAGTTTCTCCTTTACATTGACGATTATGCTCTTTGGATATCTGGGTGTTACGTGTGGGATACTGTTATACTTGCATACAGCATATGTTAGTCTGGAGACCAAGGTGAGTCTGATAGAGGCCATGGGTCTTTGCAATCACTTGCTATGCATCAGAGAACTGTACAGTAACCAGGGATGACAGAAGGAGAATTGATGCCTTTGAGCTGTGGTGTTGGAGAAGAGTATTGAATATATCATGGACTGCTAAGAGAACGAACAAGTTCATCCTGGAGAGGGTGAGACCGGGTTGCTCCTTAGAGGCAAGGAAGGACCAGTTCTTGAGGAGGGGCATCATGCTTGGGAGGGTGGAAGGACAGTGCAGGAGAGGAAGACTTTTGATGAGATGGACTGATTCAGTGACTGGAATAACGGTGGTAAGTGTGTCGGAGACAGTAAGATTGGCACAGGATAGAACAAAGTATAGGGCTGTTGTACATAGGGTCGCTATGATTCGCAGGCAATCTGATCACACATAACATATGGACTGAAAGGTCTGAGTACTCATAATGACTGAAACTTCTTGCTGATGAATGAATGAAAACCCAAAATCTCTGAAAATGTTCATTAAAACTAATAAAATTTAATAATAAAAAAAAAGAAAAGAAAAAAAAAATAAATTATTGTCTTTCTCTTCAGTACCCAGTCTCTAGCTCATGCATCTCTGTCAGACTCTTTACTTTCTAAATCAGCAGTGCCCAAAAGAACCATTTCCAAGTATAGAAATGTTCTGTAACTTGCCTTCTCCAGTATGAGAGAACTTGCCCCATGTGGTTACCACTGGTACTTTGAAATGTGACCAATATGACTGATAAACAGAATTTGAAATTTTATTTAATAAACAAAACTGAAACTTAAGTTTCCATATGTCATTGGTGTCTACTATACTGGACAACACAGTTCCAAATAACATTCTTTATCTCCCAGGTGTCACCATGTAAGTGGTAAACCAATATTAATGGGAAATGAAAACCTTTCAAATCTATTTCTGATAGAGGATGAAACAGTTGAGACATGACTTCAGATTATTTGCCACCTTAAAGCTACCTGTCCCATTATTTTGATAATCAGGTATTTCTCACCTGACTTGGTGGTTTTTCTTTTCTTTAAACTTTTGTAGATTTATAATGACCAGATTTAAAAGTATAGTCTTTCCATTGTCAGATTCTGAACTGGAAGTCAGGAAATAATTTTCCAAAAGTGTTTTTTTTTTCTTTCTTTCAATTTCCCTCACCCCTCCACCCATAAAATTATACAACCCCATGATTAATCCTCCCTCCCCCTACACATCCTCATCCCTCTACTTCCAAAAGTGTTTTAAAAGGATTGAAGTCAAGAAATCCTAAAGATTAAAAAAAAGAGAATATAAATAGGATATAACTTAAGACAAATGATTGAGAGCAGAATCTGGTGTATCTTTAAAGGGAAAATGTTTACTAGTAACTGGAAAATGTGCACAAGTTAAAACATGAACACCCAATATGATTTACTTATCGTTTTATAGGGGAGTGGGGAAGTAACAAATAACAAACTCCAAATAAGTTTACTGTTGTAGATCTAGAATGGACTTAAGCAAATTCTTTTACTTTACCATCAGAACAGGTTTAGCAAGCACCAGAGAAAGTAGGTGTAACTTATAATGAGAACAAAACCATATTTGGAACCAAACTCATATAAGCTTGGCTGGCACATCTGGCTCTTTCACTGGTAGGTCACGTAAAATAAAGACTTGTGACTAATTTCCTAACTTTCTTGGACAAAATCTATGTCCAGAGGTTGCTCATTAAAGAAGGCACTAAAAGCATCTGGAGTAAGAAGAGTATTCTGAGGGATGAATAAATCAGATAAAAGATGGGGGCAGGGGGGAGAACCACACATTTCCACATATATTAAATTTAAACTTATGACCGAAGATATTTTCATTACAATCATGTAGTTTAAATTTTAAATGTCTACTAAAATCTATAGGCTCCAAAATCCAGTGAACATAGTTCAGACATTTACCTAATAAAAAAAATGGAAACAATCAATCAAGAAAAAAACCCAAAGCAAACAAATTTTTTCTAAAAGAGGTATTGTAGCATAGTGATTATAGTATTTGAACTTTTCAGAGTGAATGTAGTCCACTCTTCTCTTGATAATCTTCATAAAACTGTCTCAACGCTTCAGGAATTCTAGGTGTCACGGAACGCAAGGCTTGAGAAAAATGCTTTTTCATAACGCACTTGGCTTGGATGTTTTCTTCTAGAGCCAGAAGAGCTGCCTCTCGACAGACAGCTATAATCTGGGGGAAAAGAAGACAAAAAAACAACAATCAATTCTCTTGGCAAATTTATTAATAATGACTTTACAGTTACTCTTCCAAATATTTATCTGTGCTAACTTCTACTAATCTAAGCAGACTGCTCAAATTTATCTGTAAAAGTTGTTCCAGTTAAGATTCTAGAATGGAGAAAAAGCAATTCATACAAAGAATATCTGTCGTTTCATTCTTTTGTTCATGTGTTCATTGATTCCAAAACAATCTATTAACTACAACACTCAGAATCAGGAGTTTGAGAAAGATGTCTAAAATTGGCATTTCCTCTTTAAGAGTTTATAATCTTTGCATGATGAGGTGTGCACACACTTTTAATGCATAGCAACAAAGGCTGAGTGTGTGTTCAGTGTGGGGGAGGTAGGAACCAAATGATAAGGGAGGGCAAGAAGGAAGAGATACTCTTCCTATCCACAGAGAACCTGGGAGGCCCCCTGATCATCAGCACACCTTGTCAGAGCACAGAATTTCCACATTCCTTTCAACCTTTGATGTATTACACCAATATGTAGAAACATTTCTTTATACTTTCATCTCTTTAACACGTTCTTAAGTCTTGGGAATATCAGTTAGACTTGCTAACATTTATTTATAAGAACTGCATTAGAACTGACAAGCGAATTCTGTTTACTCAGTAGAAGACTGGAAAAATTGAAGAATTTGGAAATAGGGTGGTTGGCAGAGGGAGGGTGAGCGAGAGCAGGCAGTAGGAAAACAGAAGGGGAGGAAGGTTCAAGTCTCAAATCCTGAAATGTGTTTCTAAGCTCTCTGGACTTCAGACAGCGGAAGCAGGCTGATGCCTGTGTCATTCTAAAGACACATTACTGCGGTGAAAAGAGTTTGCAGGATGAAAAGAGATATTGTGATTTTCAGGGCAACAGGGAAAACAGTGATTGATATTGACTGCACCCTTATATCAGTAAATGAAAGGGCCAGCTGAAACACATTTGTCCAGCCATTCAGCATATTTTCTCTGTTTGTTCACTTACTGAAAAGAGCTCCTCTGCTTATGCTGGGCTAATGGCTGCCAAAGTAGTTTAGTAGCTTTTTAGAGGATTTAGCAGCATGTTTAGGGAGCTTTTAAAAAAAAAATTCCCCCCAAACAAAAATACCAAACCACAAAACCCCACATGCATAGATTTAGATGGCTTTCTCAAATTATAACAATGTAACTATTTTAGTTCTGTGCTTTAATTACCACTGAGTTAACTATAGTGGTAAAAGGATGTCAATACTTTTCAGAAAGAGTCTTGAATAGAGAGAAAAAAACTTCTAGAGATTAGAACAACCATTCCATCACAGATTGTGGTACAAAAAAGCTATTTTAAAAGTAAACAGGTAATTAATAAACAGTGAATCCTGTGAGATGCCTAAAATGGTAAACTGGCTAGCAAACATTACAGGGACCAACTGGGGAGGCTCTGTCCCAATTTAAAAAGCACTTCTTCATTAGTATGTTGTTGTTGTTGTTAAGTGTCATCAAGTTGTAGACAACTCACAGCGACACTATGAACAAAAGGCCTGAGCACTGTTCATAGAGTTTCCGGAGGCAAGCCATTTCGGAAGTGGATGCCACTCCTGCTTTCAAGCTTGCTTTAATTGGGAAGCTTCACCAAACGCAGTCCACCATGGGTAACCATTACCGCATTTGGCACCTCAGTGTCACAGTGTTTAGCATCACAACAACCACAAGTAACTTCTTATACAGCAATGCACAGACCAGCTATGACAACTTAAAGACTGGAAAATAAAGGATGCAATGCTATTATGCTTGGAGAAAACAATGGAAGGAGCAAAGAGAAGGGGCCTTCGTGCTAGCCAAGGGAGTGTTCTCTCCTTGGGACAGCACAGGGAATGCTTCTGTTCTTATGATTCCCTCCTGGAACTAAGAGGAGTAGATACTGCACCTCTACCAGTGGCTTCTCTCCCTTATTTCATAGCTAAGATGAACTCCAAAAGAGGCAATCACTGAAAGCTCCATGGAGTTCTACACATAGATGGGAATACCATGAATTAGAATGGACTGAAAGGCCATTGGTTTGCTTTGGTAATTGGGCAGTGACTCTTTCATCGCTGTATATATTTAGGTAAGTAAGAAATGGATCTGTCCCCAAACTTGCAAGGGATGGAAAAAGATTGACTATAATGTGTTGCTTGGCCCTAAATGTCAAAATGCAAAAGGAAAATGCTTTCGGTGTGCTGAGAAGGGACCAACTGCTGTTGCCTGGAGGAAGGCTTTGTAAGTCATATTGTGACAGGTAGAATCTAGATACACTTACTTGAAAGAAAATGACATCCAACATAGAAGGAATAAAATGAACAAAGATACTGTTGTTGTTATGTGCCGTTGAGTCGTTTTCGACTCATAGCGACCCTATGCACAACAGCCCTAAA